TGTTCCAGTGAATTGTTGACTTCCAGAACCTGATTCCTGGTTCAGGCCCAGTTCTTTCGGCCGATTGCTCCAGAATCTTGGGAATTGGATCGCCCCTCGTATTCTCTCATAATCTTAAATTCATATTGTTTTTTACAATCCAATTAGTTAGGGTCTAAACAGCTAGGATTGTAAAAAAAAGAAAAGAGAACAGCTTTAGGTTTCCGGGAGAATCAGACATCCCCCTAGAGTCGGGAAGTACAACACATTCAAGCTCCCGACAGACTAAGGCCCTGTTCGGTAGTCCGCCCGCTCCAACAAATACGAGGATCTGCGGAGCGGGTGTTTCCCAACTCCTCTATTTTCAGCTAAAGCTACCCCCGCTCCTGGAGTGGAGTTCTGGAGTGGTGAGACTCCGAACAGGCCCTAAAACTAAAAACCCCCCCAAAAGGAGGAAAAACCCAGCTCCAAATAAACCCAGTTTTTTTTACGGAAAACAAGAAAAAATGGATCCACGAGGAGAAACTAACTAACGGTTACCCCTTGCGTCCCACAAGGGTCATTTTTTTTGCCCTATGAGCACGCCAAATGGTGCGTCCAGCCGGCACAACATGTCGCGTGCTAGGTGCACACTCTGGATTTTTTTTTGTATGATTTTTTGGGTCTCATATGTTTTTTTGGCTTTTAGTCTTTGCCTTGTTTTCCCTATTTTTTGGAAGTTTTTCTTCTTTTTAAGCAGTGTTTTTCCTCAAGAGGCACAACATATGGTTTTGCGAGAAGCATAGTTGTGCTTTCTAAAATGAAAAAACACAACATGTGCTTCCACCTATTAACATGAGTTTTAGTTTTCAAGATCTCGACGTGAGAAATCCAACAATGAAACCGGTTTGTGCTTTGGAAGAATGGTTCAAGAGATAAAACATTTTAAAAAACAAAGCTAAAAAAACTCTCGATTGCGACATTGTCAACACCAGAGAAAAGGTGAAGCGACCTTTGCAAGGGCCAATTGGTAACCTTTTTTAAGAAAGGCCATCATGACTAACTTTATTGAATCAAAATACAGTTACATCATCCACATGTTTGTTGACGACAAACCTCGAAGGCTCGTCTACCCAAATCTCAAAAAAATTATTACAAAAACTATACTCCCTCCGGTCCTTTTTACTCTGCATATTAGGTTTGTCCGAAGTCAATCCCATTCAACTTTGACCAAGTTTATATAAAAAATTATAAACATTCACATAACAACACCAATATCTTTAGATTCATCTTGTAATATATTTTTATATTATATTTATTAGATATTATAGATGTTAATAATTTTTAATATAAATTTGGTCAAACTTAGCAAAGTTTGACTTTCGGCAAAACCAATGTGCAGAGTAAAAAGGACCGGAGAGAGTATTTAGCTAGCTCATGTGCCACGGTATTAGCCGAGCGAAGACAATGTTTGAACTTGAGCTTTCCAACCGATGTCACCATGTCAAAACAGCCCACCATTGAGTTTGCCCAGAACAGATGTTATAACATCCAAAGAATCTGATTTAGGGCTCCTTTGATTCATAGGATTTACAAAGGAATTTTGGAGGATTATAATCCTTAGGAAATTTCCCTATGTTGGTTGTTTGATTCATATGATTGGATCCTATTGGAATTTTTCCTGAGGATATTTTTGGTACTACTTTTCATAGAATTTCTAGCATCCACTCAAACCTCTTTGAATGAATCCTTCCTATGATGCAATCAAGCAACCTAGAATCATGTATGATTGAGATGATCATGACATTCTAATCTTATGTTTTTCCTATTCCCGTGTTTTTAGAATGCTGCGAATCAAAGACGTCCAACTTCAAAATTACGGATGCCAAGGGAGTTAGCTAAAGCCAATCCATCATGCGTTGCGCTTGCCTCCATAGATGTAACATATTGAAATATTACTTACACCGTGCATCAATAAATTGACCCTTTTCATCTCGGATGATCACAATTGTAGTTCCAACACCAACATCTTCATGATATACGACATCCACATTCACTTTTATGAATCTAGGGTCCGGTTTGCACCACTTCTGATCTAGGACCCGTATTGCGAGACGTAGACTTGAGAAAATTCCCTGCTATAGACAGGACAAATATAGGCCATCTATAGCTCAGTGGACATGCTTTATTATGTGTTGTTTGGCATCTTACCCACCAGAGGTACCAACAACCTACAACCAACACATCTTTAGGATTCAAAGTCATCATGATATGTAGATTACTAGTTGGTAGGTTAAGCAACGACTTCAAAACATTGACCTGGAATGATCAATTAGCACGGAGGATATCATATGCAGAAGACCCAAACTCCTCCAAAGTTCTCTGGACGTAGCACACTCAAAGATGATGCGCCATATGTCCTCAACGGCAAGATGGCATATAGGGCATACTCCACTAACCAAGATGGCATATTGGGACCTAAAGTTTCCAAACATTCTCTAGGTTGATGGCGAAGCCGAGTGAGGGAGTCCTGGATTAGGGGGTGTCCGGATAGCCGGATTATACCTTCGGCCGGACTCCTGGACTATGAAGATATAAGATTGAAGACTTCGTCCCGTGTCCGGAAGGGACTTTCCTTGGCGTGGAAGGCAAGCTTGGCGGTACGGATATGTAGATCTCCTACCATTGTAACCGACTCCGTGTAACCCTAGCCCTCTCCGGTGTCTATATAAACCGGAGGGGTTTTAGTCCGTAGGAACAACAATCATACCATAGGCTAACTTCTAGGGTTTAGCCTCTCTGATCTCGTGGTAGATCTACTCTTGTACTACCCATATCATCAATATTAATCAAGCAGGACGTAGGGTTTTACCTCCATCGAGAGGGCCCGAACCTGGGTAAAAACATCATGTCCCTCGTCTCCTGTTACCATCCGCCTAGACGCACAGTTCGGGACCCCCTACCCGAGATCCGCCAGTTTTGGCACCGACATTGGTGCTTTCATTGAGAGTTCCTCTGTGCCGTCGCCATCAGGAAGGATGCCTCATCCCGTCTTTAAAGACGGCACCGTTGCTAAGGGAGCTTTGGCTGTCGGCCAAACTCTCCGGCTAGGTGGTTTCCTTATGACCGCCTGTTTGGCTGCTGCGCCGACGATGACCTCTCGGGTCATCGAAAGCAATCTTCACGTCAGCTCGGAATTCGCCGAGCAGCTAGATCCAATGGAGCTCTCTTCCCTAAACGAGCTCTTGGATCGCATCGCCGCCCTGGGAGTCGCTATGGATTACGACCAGATTGGCCCTAAACCCAATCTGAGAGAGATTAACTCTCCCCAGGTCACCCATCACGTTGCCGTGGTAGAGGGACAGTGCAGCGACCCTTCATCTATCTTAAGGACTAGCTATGTCCGGATTCCCGACCCCTCCAAGCCGGATACCCGCGGAGGGGAGGACATCACTCAAGACCTGAACTTAAAGTCAGGCGACGGGCCAGATTCATTGGACAGCATCCAAGAATCCAAACTTCCAAGTTCGGAAACTCCTTGGCCCCTGGGTCTCAGATTGGGT